AGTCAAAATGGAGCTTCAGAATTTAAACCAACCAGCACGAACAAAGTTGCTTCCTGCAAAGGGTCACGTGCCTTTGCTCCTCCTTTATGTCTTATGGGAGGGGCCAATCATCTCCAAGCCCTACTCCCGAGTCGCCCCTTTTGCCTTAACTGTTCTTCCTTCTGGCAGCTCTGCGTATGCGTGCACTGGGAACAGGCTCCCTCTGTCCTCTGCCTCGCTGATGTCAGACTCTGGAGGCTCCAGAATCCACACATCACTCCCAGATGGCCCTGGCCCCATCTCTGCATCCGACGCAGAGCCCTCATCTGAGCCTTCTCCAGACTCCAGGACTGGCCCCAGCCTCCTCACTGTCTGACTCTGCTGCCAGCTCTGCAGGCTGTCGGTGGACCACAACACCTGGAGGACTTCAACCCCCAGAATTCCTCAGCCAGCAAAGCTGCAATTGATAAGTTAGTAACCCAAAATTCTGGGAGTTGAAGTCCTCCAGGCTTAAAGTTGCCAAGGTTGGAGACCCCTGCCTGCTATGGTTATGCCAGCCCTGAAGAAACATATCTTTGAGTGGAGTAGATTGGTGTCTGATATCCATGAAGAAGTAAACATCTCCACGAGTCCATTCAGCCTCTGCTAATTATGGCTAAGTCTTCAAGAAATGATCCAACTAACTGCACTGCAGAACTAAGCAGGGCAGCCCATGGAATGGCCAGGCCAGCCAATCAGTTGCAACCTGATTGGGATCAGAACTATGGCACCTCCTGTGCTGTGAACTAGACCTCTGAAACAAGTGTGCATTTAAGATGGTCTTGCACTGTGACTTTTGCCCACTGACCCACACTTTGGGGTTACGATGGAAATAATCATCTGCCAAGTTTTTTTTAATTCAGTCCAGAGTTCCCCCACGGTGGGTTCAACTCAGCAGAGTCAGGACAGGAAAGATTCCGCTGGCTTCCTCCTTTGTTGCTTTTGTGTGTTTCCCTTTTAACACTTGAACTAACTTAAAGCAATTGACTTTGACATTTCTCTTTACTGCCAACAAACATGGGGGGAAGGTGTTTTTTTTTTTTTTAAGATCATGATGCTAAGTACAAGTTGGCAACAGATAATAAGAAGGTGCTGTGTTTGTACAGAGAGCTCGGAAATTGCCTTGAAAGTAAAATTTGCAAGCTGGAGGAAGAGTTTACTCTCTCCCTGCTCTAAGCTCCAGATGGATTCCTATGCCGCAAACTCTGGCCAGAGGCCAATTCCTCTGCTCCATCAGCCCCCTCTGGCCTGGCCTGGCCTGCATATCCTTTTACTGGAAAAACGGTAAACATATAATTGTAAGTAGCAATTGTTCTTCTTCAAGGGCAGCTCTGTTGGAAAGACATAACCCAAAGCCCACTAGCAGGAAAAGATCAAGAGCAAAATCAGACCATCATGAAACCTATTTTGGAGCCAGTTGAAACAAAAAATGGTTTATGGAAATTCTGTTTCCCACTCAGTTACATTTCCTGGCCTTGTCCTTTCATAGATGCAACTGTGAACTACAACTACACACCTAAAAGGCCTCTCAAGGCATGTTTTCTTCTACTCTGTCAGAGGGATAGTATCAAGGTCACGTGAAGTGTTACGACCGCTTTATACTGATTTGGTAAGACCACACTTGGAATACTAATCCGACCTAATCGTAGTACACAAAATTATCTGCTACAACGTCCTACCTGTCAATGACCACTTCAGCTTCAACCCCAACAATACACCAGCACACAATAGATACAAACTTAAGGTAAACCGCTCCAAACTCGATTACAGAAAATACAACTTCAGCAACAGAGTGGTCAATGCCTGGAATGCACTACCTGACTCTGTGGTTTCTTCCCCAAACCCCCACAACTTTAGACTGTCTATTGTTGACCTCACCCCATTCCTAAGAGGTCTGTAAGGGGCTTGCATAAGAGCACCAACGTGTCTACTGTCCCTGTCCCCATTTATTCGTATCAATTTCCTGTATTCATAATCATGTTTAAACTTGTATCTCTTATCTTATATGCTTGACAAAATAAATAAATAAAATAAAAATAAAAAAATCCAAATTTAGTCACCACACTACCAAAAAAAAAAATGTTGAAATTCTAGAATGAGTGCATAGAAAAGCAACAAAGATGATTAGGGGGCTGGAGGATAAGCATATGATGAACAATTGCAGGAGCTGGGTATGTCTAGCTGAATGAAGAGAAGGACTAGAGGAGACGTGATAGCAATCTTCCAACACTTGAGGGGCTGTCACAGAGAAGAGGGAACCAATTTATTCTCCATAGCACCTGAGAGTAGGACAAGAAGCAATGAATAGAAATTAATCAAGGAGAGAAGCAACCTAGAATTAAGGAGAAATTTCCTATCAGTGAGAACAATTAATCAGTGGAACAACTTGCCTCCAGAAGTTGTGAATGCTCCAACACTGGAGATTGTTAAGAAGCAATTGGACAACCATTTGTTTGAAATGGTACAGGGATTGGACGAGAAGACCTTCATGGTCCCTTCCAACTTTGATATTCTGTATTCCTAGGAATATTTCCCTGCAGCCATTAAAAACCCAACTAATATATCTAATTTTTTTTTAAGCATTCAATTAAAAACAGTTAAATGAAAAGGGCTGGCTACCACTGCCTTAGGAGAAAAGTCTTCTCCAGTTTACAATAAAAGCAAAAAACTCCTTCCATATGCTACTCAATTCTGATCTTCGGTTCCTTCATCCAATCTAATGGAAATGCTGTTGAAAGACCCCTGGAGAGTTGTAGCTTTCCTACTCCTAGGTTGCATACATGGTTTAAAAACCCTCCCCTCAAAATTTAGCAGATAGGAGGGAGTTGTGCTTCCTTGCCCAATGCTGCTTTTTGAGACAGTTTGCAGAAAAAGGTATGGGGAGGCAGGGAGAGTTTTCCAAATAGACACTGGATACGAGATGAGTGGCAATTTTATTGGCTGCCCATCTCATATCCAAAGACACTTTGGGAAACTCTCCCTGCCGTACCTTTTTATAAAGAAATAATAATAAAAATTGACTGTGAGGCTACATAGTTGCAACCTGGTGAAAATGAAGCCCCGAAAACAGAATTTTTACAGGATGCAGCACATCATAGCACGACAGCATTTCCCTGAGCTTTTCTATCCTTCTTTCTTTCCTTGTAACTTCTAAAGATAACTTTATAAATAGTTTCAAAAGAAAAAGGAGAAATATAGCATCGAAATCTGCAAGTCATCTGTTCCAATCAAGAAATTATAATCCACATCTGTGGAGCTGTCTTGTTGTTTTTCCAAATATTTGAAAGAAGCCTGTTCATGCTGAATTATTATTTCACATATTCTCTGGCACTGCAAACCGCGTCTATGGTCATAGAAAACTTGTCTCAACTGAAGTACTGGCTTGAGAGAATCACATGCCAGCAGCTTTCAAAGAATAGAGCAAATAGAGCAATACATTTTACAGATATCTTGGCCTTTGCTTCCAACAATCCTCTGTCTGCTCTCTGCCTGAATTACCAAGTCTATTTTTCAAATGATTCTCTGCCAAACGGTAAACAGCAATACTAAACAATATTAAAATAAACATTTTTTAGAAAAAACACTTAAATATCCTTTTTAAAAAGTAGGTGATGTTCTGAGGTATTTTCTGCATATTTTAAATATCATTTAAAAATGGGAAGACATTGTCTGGATTCACCTGTGGATAAATTAAAGAAGAAACTTTCGTGCTACTGTCCAAAAAATTCTAAGCTAATAAAGGAGGAACATTCAAGTTCAAAACTCTGGAAGGCACATGCAGGAAAATGCTGTCAGGTCTGTTGTGGCCTGTTAAAGTTTATTGCCAGTACTTACAATAAAACTTGCTAATTGCTTGGTGGACCAGAATGTAGCACAATGGTACATACAGTCCAGGGGTGGGTTCTACTTACCTTTACTACCGGTTTGCAACGGGGCCACGTGCACACTTCTGCACATGCGCAGATCATCATTTATGACGTCCGTGCAGGTGGGCAGAGCCTCCCACTGATTTTACTACCGGTTCTATAGAACCGGACAGAACCAGGAACAACCCACCACTGATACAGTCCATCTTCTCCTAAGTTCTCAGAGCAAAGAGATATGGTTGTTACACTATGCCATGCCCTCCTCTACAAGGTTTTACATGACTTCCATCCCATCCTTCTTGGAGAGAGTGTGATTGAAACAAAGTTGGAAGGGACTTTGGAGATCTTCTCGTCCAACCCCCTGCTCAAGCAGGAAACCCTATATATCATTTCAGACAAATGGTTGTCCAATCTTTTCTTTAAAACCTTCAGTGGTGGAGCACCCACAACTTCTGGAGGCAGGTCATTCCATTGATTAACTGTTCTAATTGTCTGGAAATTTCTCCTTAGTTCTAGGTTGGTTTTCTCCTTAATTAATTTCCATCCATTGCTTCTTGCAACCATTTGGTGTAAGTGTAATATGTTGCAAACATCCTATTCCTGCCTCAGACAGGCATTGTCCCAATGCAGAGTCTAGTTCTTTCCACTGTCGTGAAACCAGAAATGTACTGTGAAAACAACAACAGTGATAGTTGGTCTAATGGTTGAGATGCCAGAAACCAGGCGACCTTGAGTTCTAATCACACCTTAGGCATGAATGCTGGCTGGCTGCTCTTAGCCCAATCCATCTCACAGGGTTGTTTTTTGAGGAAAATAGGAACAGAAAGGAATATTGGATATGTTGGTCGTCTTGAATTAGTTATAAAAATAATAAAAGAGAGATAAAAATAAATAAATAAATAAATAAAGTTTAAAATCTGAATAGAACTTCAAACATGTCAATTTCCTTGATAGAAGTTTTATCTCCACTTAGTATTTGTTCTCCAAGGCTCAAATTTCATGCTAGGTTCCAGTTTCAGTTCAGTCATATTATGTGCTGGGTCTATCACTGTCTGAGGATTATGATACAGGTGAACTGGTAAACTCCTTCAAAGAAACACAATCTTTATTTGTTGCCACTTTGCCTTTATTTCTAAATGGTCAGTCACCATCTGCAAGTAGTTATGGATTTTATTACTTCCAGAAGCTTCCTGCATGTGCTTTTCATCATCTCCTTCCAGTGGTGGTATGACATCCCAAACTACGGGCCAAAAGTTAATCACATTGTCTTGGTATGCTTGAAGCAACTTGCTTTTCTACCACAGTTATTATTCTTTAATTAAATTGTAATGGCAATTAACATGCTATTGAAAGTTTGCAAGATTTATTGCAAGGAAAGACTCTCCTGTAAATATGATCCCATTATTTTCTTTATGCCAGCAATCTTGAAAACAGCTACTTCTTTTCCATTTTTAATGCCGTTCTTCCCAAGCTGTGGTGTGCAGACTACCGAGAACTCCTGAGATGGTCTGTTGATGAAGGGGAATGAGAATATAATTCTTCACACTTCAATGTTATATTCTATTTATATATACACACACACCATAAATCTTATTGAAACTTTTAAAGAGAACTTAAAAACTAACACAAACTGATGGAAAGAAAGAAACAGAGAAAGGAAAAGGAAAAGAAAGGATAAACAAAATAAAAAGAAGCTTTCCAATTTCCTTTGCAGCAAGTACAAATTTGAGTTCTCTTATTTTATGATTACAAAAAAAGTTCACTTTTTTTCTATTACTCATTTTTTTCAATCCTCGAAACCAAAAGTCATAAGTGATTTCTTTTTTCATGCCAAAACTCTATACAGGGTTCCCAGCCAGCCATAAATATAGATATTGTCTCTGCAAGTTCCATCATCTTCACTAACCATTCCTCCATTCTGCATAGTATAGAACCTTTCCACTCTTGAGCATATAATAATCTCACTGCCGTTGTCATATACAGAAATAAAGTTCCATGACTTTTTTCTAGTTGCCTTCCATTAGTCCCAAAAGCCTCCGGTTTCAATTATACTATAGTCTCTAAAATATTCTGAATGAATTATGTATTTGTATTTTTTTTAAAATGACTTTTTTGCACATTTTTACACATATCACTTATGACCATGTTTTACACTTAAGCGCTGTGGTGGTGTAGTGGTTAGAATGCAGTACTGCAACTACTTCTGCTGACTGCCAGCTGCCAGCAGTTTGGCAGTTCAATTCCCACCGGTTCAAAGTTGACTCAGCCTTCCATCCTTTCAAGGTCAGTAAAATGAGGACCCAGATTGTTGGGGGCAATATGCTGACTCTGTAAACTGATTAGAAAGGGCTGTAAAGCACTATGAAGCGGTATATAACTGTAAGTGCTATTGACATTCCTATTATGACCATCCCCATGGCAACTGGCATGGGTTTATGATGGCTGCAGTGTCCCAGAGTCATGTGATCATTTTTTTTGCAAACTTCTAACAAGAAAAGTCAACAGGGACTCCAGATTCAGCTTTAACAACCCTGTTGCTAACTTAACAACTGCCGTGATTCACTTAGCCTCTGTGGCAAGAAAGGTCATAAAATGGAGCAAAACTCACTTAACCTGTCGTATTTAGCAATGGAAATTTTGGGCTTATGGTCATACTTGTGATTGTACATTGAGGACTAACTATAAGTGTTTTATTGTACACTACCCAGAGTCTCTTTGTGAGGGAGATGGGTGGTTCAAAAATGCATAAATAAATACATTTAAATAAATAAAGAGGGATTTCAGACACACCCACACCCACAAATGTCTATGGAGATTCTCAGTCATCCAGGTCATGGTTGTCCCAAAGGTGTTTTAACTCATCAGAGCTGAAGAAGCTTCTTTGGATGAGAAGCAAAATGTCTTCAAAAAAAAACAAAATCCAGTTGCTTCTGAAAAAGCATCTTTGGAACACACACACACACACACACAAAAAAAACCCAGGGGGCCAGTAGATGATAGCAAAGCAGACCAGAAAATGCTAAATTTTCACTGACCTCCTGGGATTGTCTGGGATTTGCAGATCAAATCATGCAGCCTTATAAATACTGAAGATAACTAGAATCGGACAGGAGTTTTGGTCTCCTTTGGCAATGTGTGGCAAGCCTTATGTTCCAAGGGATAGAATTGACAAGGCCAGGAAGGCTAAAGGAAAGCAAATATTGTCCCTATCTTCAAAAAAAAAAAAAAAAAAGGAACAATCTGGGAAATTATAGACCTGATATCTATGCTGGGCATTGACCTCTAGTAGATAATTAAACATCATGTTTGTGAGCACTTGGAATGCATCAATTAACAAAAGCCAGGCAAAAAAAATATAGGGGAAGTTACAAATAAATCATGGCAGACTAACATTATCTCTGTCTTTGAGGGCTTAGCTGTTTCAGGGAAATATTGTGGACATCGTGTATTTTGATCTCAGCAAGGATTTCAAGAAAGTCTGTTACGATATGTTCACTAATGTTGACATATGGGCTAGATGATAAACTTTTTGATGGATGGATAACTAACTGAATAACAGCATCTACAGTAGACAATATTCATAAATAAATTCCACATCAGCCCGGAGAGTAGTATCAACTGGAGTTCCATGGGACTCTGCCCTCCGACCTGTGCCATTCAACAGTTTTACTGATGATCAAGATGAAAGAATTGACAGTGGTCTGTTCTCACATTAGCAAATGACACAAACCTAGGAAGAGTGGCTAACATTTTAGAAGAGAAAAAGAAGATTCAAAATTTAGGGCCGAAATGAACAGAGCAAAATTTAACAGGGAGAAATATAAAGAGGAGATGGCTTCTGCTATTAAGGTGACTGAAAAGGACTCTCTTGAATTGGCCAATTCTTCCATCACATCCAAATCACAGTGCCTTCCGTCACTTCCCAAGAAATACAGCCGATTGACCTCCACAACCAACCCCACAATTAAAGGGGCATCATAATGAAAAATTAGGAGGTTACCACTTTACACTTGGAACTTCAGAAATTCAGGCAGGTAGATTTAGCAACTACATAAAGTATTAGTTTAATTTAATATACAGATGTGCATTTCAAGCTGGTGGTTTTAGTATATATTTTTGGTTTACACTTTACTTCCCTGCCATAAAATATGCAGTCATTCTTCAGAATTCCTGCAGAGAGCTAAGAAACCCAAGTCATACATTTGCAGCTAAAAAAAAAACTATCCACAGACTTCCCAGTACTTATCCCAGTAACTTATGGCATCCAATGGTTAGAAGCAATATTATCACTGTTGTGGTATAATACACAGAGTACGCTAAGCATCACCCGGGCCACTGGTTTTCCACTCAGAACTACAGGTTTTTAAATTTTTTCTCCAATAAGCTAAATAACTTATTAGTAAACATACTATAAAACAGAGATATCACCCTGCCCACAAAAGTGTGTATAGTCAAGGCTATGGTTTTCCCAGTTGCAATGTATGGTTGTGAAAGCTGGACCATAAGAAAGGCTGAGGGTCAAAGAATTGAGGCCTTTGAACTATGGTGCTGGAGAAGACTCCTGCGAGTCCGTTGGACTGCAAGATGATCAAACCAGTCAGTCCTAGAGGAGATCAACCCTGACTGCTCTTTAGAAGGCCAGATCCTGAAGATGAAACTGAAATACTTTGGCCACCTAATGAGAAGGAAGGGCTCACTGGAGAAGAGCCTAATGCTGGGAAAGATTGAGGGCAAAAGAAGAAGGGGACGATAGAGAATGAGGTGGCTGGATGGAGTCACTGAAGCAGTAGACGTGAGCTTAAATGGACTCCAGAGGATGGTAGAGGACAGGAAGGTCTGGAGGAACGTTGTCCATGGGGTCACGATGGGTCAGACACGACTTCGCAACTAACAACAAAGTTAAATAATCTCAAGTACTCACATTTCCAAGGAAATCTAGTGCCACAAGGTCAACTGTTCCAGGTAATGTGATAACCCACAATGTACAAATTGTTCAAAGCAAAGTAGAAAAGATACAATTAGCAATCGGGGATGGCTGGTTCTGTAACACCAAAAGCTGTCTTGTGTTAAGATAGGACTTTGATCTTTGCCTAAGAAAACCCCTCCCTCTTCTGCTTAAAAAGGAGATATGGGTCAGGGTTACATGGGGGATTGTTCTCCCTCTAATAAGTAATTTGAACATTTTAGGTGTATGCTCAGCTTCTGTCTGTTTTGTACAGAAAATGGTTTTATCAAGGGAGCATGTTATCTCTCAGCTGCAGAGCCCTGGAATTCTTTGCTCAGATTAGTTAGTCATTTTTTTTCCAAGTAGGTTTCAGGCAGCTTTCACCAACAACAACTTCTTTATAACTTAAAATGGTTTCTGGACCATTATTAGTTAATGTGCAATTAGTAGGTGTCCAGAGACTACCTTCTTAGCTGTAACCCAACTGTGGCATCCTCTCCCTAAAAATGGCCAGTAGCCTCCTTCCCTTCTATCTCAAAATAATTATTTTAGCAGGTCAACCGGGAATGTTGAGCTACGGTTGTGGCTCCTTAAGCTACCACTGGCATCCAGAGCAAGCCACTCCCAAAATGGCTACCACATGACAAAAGACAGTTCTGGGAGACATCAATGGCCAGATAAATCAAGGGAGAACCTCAGTTGTATCCCATTAAAATGTTAACTGAATCTGTCATTTTTATTGCTTCTGTTTTTAAGTGGTGGTAGCCAACTGTCACAGGTATACAGTGTGTGTGTGTGTGCGTGTATGCATATTTATATGTGTTTGTATGCACTGCTGCAATCTTGACCTTTTTTTATCCCACTCCTTGGATACTTCTGTTGGTTTGGGTTTTCGTTTATTAATTTTAAAATATAATGTTGATGCTTCTTTTGGTTTCTCAGTGCAAATCAATTCAAAAAGTAGAGTTTGCTATAAATTATTCAAATGATTAAATAGGTATATATGGAACTGTCTGCGTGTTGTTGTTTTTTAAATAGTATAGATGGGCTTGTTTGCTGCTAATATAGTCAAGGCACTCTTGAGTAGCTAATTGTCCTGTAGCATAAAGCTAAAAAGTACCAGAGATGTCTTCTAACCTACCCTTTCCCACATCGCTTCAGTATAGGACTGTGGAAAGTGATGGTCCTTAGTCTTGGGTTTTGGTTACTATTTCTTCCTCTTTTTTTATTATTTCTATTATTTCTGTAGCATTGTAAGCTGCTGCAAGCCTTCTGGGAAGCGGGTGCCATATAAATGGTAAAAAATAAAGATAAAAAGAGAAGGTGAGAGAGACAGACAGATTGAAATCAGTAACATCTAAATGTCAGAGTTTCAGATACAGGAAAAGACTAATCCAATAACTCAACCAGTTCATGATGTTACTATAGATTGAACCAAACAGTGCAGTGGTGGGTTGCCTCCGGTTTGGACCAGTTCACAAGAACCGGTAGTGAAACTGGTGGGAGGCCCCACCCACCGCCCCGGATGTCGTCATCGGCGATCTGTGCATGCGCAGAAGCAAG